TTTTTTTGTATACCATACTCCAGTTCTACGCACAGCAAATAATCGAGACTCGACTGTGACACGAAATTAGTCAAATTACAGTAAATGGGAACGGTCAGAGCACAACTTTACAACGTTAAATTGAAGTCCAGAAGAACTGTACCAAGTTGCTTAAAACTCATAGAAACTAGTTAAATTGAGGTCCCGAACTCTACAAACTTGCTTCAAATTTACAGAACTCACATTAGTAACTAGAGGATTGGTTCATGCATTCATTTCGGACGGGACAATCTCAAAGAATACTACTGACTATCCAACAGAAAATCTGAAAAGAATGTCTTGCTGATAGGTAAATCCGGACAAGGTTAAACGCCTAACTAGCTGCTAATGATTTCTTATCAATCATCTAATGGGTGTGGTCTTGAGAGACAAAAGGCCTTCCAGATATGTAATCTTCTCATTATTGGATTTTGGACCAAAAACCTCCCAGAACCGAATAGTCTCATCTGCTACAGCCGATGCCACAATTAAACCATCAGGGCTCTATCAACAAAGAACGAACAATACAGAGATTAGAAGATAAAACCATCCAAATGCTGCAAAAAGCTATATAATTCGTTTTGCAGAGTTAAAGCACAGAACATCTAAGAAGAGATGGTTACAGAAAGCACCTTTGATGATTAGTCTAATTATTAAATAGTCTTTCAAATCAGAAAAATCCATTGCTTTTTTTTTTTTTTTTNTTTTTTTGATAAGACAAGAAATGTCGACGTATTGTGCAAATGTCAATAGATAGCTACTTGTCTTTTGTACTTAGGAAAAACCTCAGGGGAAACTTTTGTAATTAACTGAAACACTGAATCGAACCTGTGATAGGTGGAGAATTCGAGATGTATAGACACCTGATTCTCCAATTTTAGACATTGAAGGGTATCTCCACAAACATAACCGGTTATTTCCCGGCTCAAAGCCATAGCCATGCCCACTTAATATCTCCTTGTGATGTATATTCCATTCCAGGCCACATACCTGTTCATATAACAAACAGATACTAGATTTATGACAATTACAATCAAATTAGACACTGTGTTAAATCGAAATGTACATGTAGACATTTAAAATGCCAAATATAAAAATGAAGTAACAATCAAATCAACTACTCGTATTATTCGCTGCACTATATTCCAACTACAGGAAATCTGTTATATAACTAAAGAATATAGAATAACAACCAAGGCTATCTCTTATTTTTAGTACATTACAATAAGTCCAGGTTAAGTTTCACATTTTGTATTGTCATACAAAGCCCCCTTAAGGTCTTAAATTATCTAAAAAGTCCCTCAATTGAGGATGCACACTTTAAAACAGAAACGAAACTTAAGCGGGTATGTGTAAATGCCAAAAAAAAAAAAAATGCGTATTCTTTTGATATTAGAACACCAGGGATAGCTTTTTCATAATTACCATAGAAAGCAGCACATATGCAATATAAATAATGCAAATACCTCTCTTTCAAATATTTCTAAATAAAAAATTTCTTAGCTCCTACGAGGCTATAACTCACTACATCCGTCGTCAGATAGGAACTACACCAACTTTAATAACTAAAAAGCACTTCCACAATTTGCATAATCACCAAAACTTGCCTGTGCTTTAGTGTTAGTGCTACTGATGCAGGTCCCCTTTTGTGTGTTCCACATCTTAATAGAACCATCAGAAGTGCCACCTCCCGAGGCGAGCATTTTATCATCGTAAGGACACCAAGCAAGGGCCTTTACAGCTGCATGGTGATCGTTAAATCTATACAATTGTTGTCTTGGGCCCATTTTGCGCACATCCCATAAGTAAACCACATTGTCATTTCCACCACTCGCTAATATCTTGCCTGTGTTCGACCATTTCAAGCCACAAACCTCTGCCTTGTGCGCCTTAACATAACACACCACACTATTACGGGCTCTCACTGTAAAATGACACAAGGAAATATAAAGGGCTCATCAGTAGGCATCAAAATTTCCCATTCAAGATTATGTTACTGAAAAGAACATCAAGATTATAATGTCAAACTTGATTACCATCATGACTGACGATGGCCCTATCCTTGCTTCCTGTCGTTAATAGGTAACCGTTCCATGAAAGAGAGCCCACTCTTCCCTTGTGACAGTCAAGGGATCTCCCCTGCGTATATTGCGAAACACATTGCATTAGAAACCTTCACTGAAGTTTGGTTTTATCACAAAATGACCAAATTTCTACCTAAAGTGTATATGGAATAAAAAGCCCAGTCAAATATGCATTTACTTTAGCAAATATACCATTCACAAGGTGCAATTCATCAACCAAATACAAAATATCAAGATATGCTGTTAAATTAGGATAACTAGCCATAAAATCTTGCTTAATTACAAAAACAACCGAACTTTCTTCCAAAACTAATGGACACCCCTTTAAATATTTTGTTTACTTAACAAGTATCCCACTCAAATAGTGCACTTTGGAGTACAGAAGCAAACTTCAAGAATGTATTTACCTTCCTGAACTCGCCGGAAGGTAGTTTTAGTAACTAAATGACTTACAAGTTTGAGAGACTCTGCATCATAGAGATGCACTCTGTTGCACTTATATCCTACTGCGACAACACTCGCTTCCTCGGACCATGACACGCTGGCAGGATAGTCGGTCTCATCCACTTCCGACAGCAACTCTATCCCACGACTATCCACATTTGACAAGTACACTTCTGTCCCTAGAGCAACAGCTAAAACATTTGATTTCCCCCAATCAATATTTTCGAGATAGTAATCACTTCTCAAGTTGGGTGCATCCAGGATACGGGACTCACTCTGCATAAAAAAAAAAAGCAAAAAATGTCTCCAGTTAAGGCAGCAGACAAGTGAATATTCAAAAATTAAAGAAAAAAACATTATTTTAAAAGTTCATATTACTTTAGGAAACCCTCGTAAGGGCTTACGGATAGGGTTCTCCTCAACACTACGTCTCATCTCGTCTATTAGGTGGGCCGGCCTTCGGCTTGATTTAGGGCTACCCCTGAAAACAAGCATCTGGAACTGCCTTCCTTCAGGGTCGAGAGTGAGATTTTCCAGTTTCCGGCGAAATTCAGTCTGTAACACACAAGAATATGAAGAACTGCCTAATGTAATCGCTCAACCGTCCCAACAATATTACAAACCTTGCACATCTTTAACTATTTCCCACCAAATTCCAGAAAGAAGAAACAAAAGAAAGAAAAGAAAAATGTGAACGTGTTCATACATACACATAAATTCTTATTTTCCCCATAGAGTGTTCATGGTTGGTAGAAAGTTCAACCGAATGTAATAATTTCCGAATATAATCGAAACAATCGGAACAAGTTCTTCTGCCAAGATACAATGAGAAGAAAGAACTGCCACAAAATTAAGCAATAATTTCAAGCTGCAACTCACAGAAACAACTTCAAACAACATCAAACGCCACAAACTCAATCAAGAAACCATAACCATCAATTGCGGACACTGTTTCAAAAAAGAAGAACAAGAAAAATTAATAATAATAAAAAAACAGGGAAAAAACAGAAACACACATGGGAATTCTTTTCTGGGGGCCCTTGCTTCGTCCTGTTCGTCAACATGCCATGAGCTTGATCGAGATCCATCAGGCTCCTATTCGGGATAAACCTATCCCCCTTCAAATAAGAAATTGAATCAACGAACAGACGATCGATGAATGAAAACTACACCTCCAGTCAAATATTGAGAGAGAAAGAGAGAAGGAAGTTGGTCGAGTACCGGGAAATCGTAATCAACGGGGCTGTCGTGGAGTCGAGTCGGAGAGTACCAGTCGGATTGAAGCCTCAAATCGCACTCACTACCCATCCTTAAGTCGCTGCTTGAAATTGAAATATTCGTAGAAATTTGAATGAAGACGAGGACATGCGATCTTGAGATGAGGCTGCGTTTTTTCTAACTTTCAAAGAACTTTTCGCGCCAAAAATTGGGAGATGGCTGTTAGTGGTCAACCGTTGTCATTTTTTCTTGGTGATAATTTTCAGTTAGGATCGTATTTTCTTGAGAATTATATTATGTATTGATAATTAAATTGACTATAGTAGTACAAGAATTGAGTTGTAACTATAGTAGTGGCCACAAGTACGAGTCAATCCCACGAGAAATAGAAATTAAATTATGAATATTATCCTATTGATCGAATTGAAATTAAGAAAGCATAAAAATTGAAACTAAGAAAGTATAAAAATAGGGATTGTTATTATAAAAATAAAATTAAAAAAATAGAATAACAACCAAATAGAATGAGATAAGTCCACATTTTGATTCAGTTATCACCAATCTAAAAGTACCATTAGTTAATTTGTGCGTCTTCTTTAATTGCTAATATTGTTCACTAATTATTTTCGTTATCCGCAAGTGTACGTCGTAGCTATATATAGTGGTGAGCAATGTCGTATTTTACAGAGATTGTAATTAAATTAATTAAATATTAAAATAATGACGATTAAATATTATCTAGACCAGTGAATTGAATAATGATTATAAACTAAAGTTAGTTTATCTAAGAAATGAAAACAAAGCAAGATATAGAATATAGATTTTAGGTTATGCTTTCTCGTAATTAATTGATGAAACGTTTAAATTCAACCAAACCTTATTTAATTTACCAGTCATAGAGATAATCGCTAAATTGATTTAACCTTCCTCTCGAACAAGTTAAATCGTAGATTAATTGCTATATTTCTCCTCCCGTCTCAAGATGAACAATTAACTCCATAAAATCCTAGGATTCTCGTTCTGTTGCAAGGTCCTATCAAGTATCAACTTCTCGGTCTGTTTATTCTCTTACATTATAAATCTCCTAATTATAGCAATCAATTATCTCATATCGGTCTCAAATAAATCACAAATATACTAACAAATCCTATAACTAAGATAAATATAACCTAGAAACATGCTTCCAAAATTAGCAAAATAAATATAAAACATTGAGTTTGAAAAACGAAAAGAAAAAGAAAGAAAAAACTTATTCGACTTCGTCAATTTCTTCTTTCTCGCTTTCTCGCTCATCTTTCTAGCCTCCGAAAGTCTGAAAATCTCTCTCACTCTTAAAAAATGACAAAATGTGCCCTAGTGTCTATTAAATAGACGAGGTCGAGACATGGTCGAAATATGTCGAAAAAACCGCACTCGTGGACACGCTCCTCGGGAACCAAGAATCAGACCGGTGATAGTTAAAGAACTGGCGTTCTCATTCTCTTTGACTCTTTGAAAAAGGGAGTCTAATCGGTATTTAATTCAAAGTTAGGGACGGTACCTTTTTTCTCGTATGCTGTCTGTGCTTGGTAGTCTATATCTTTTCCTTCTTTCTTTTCTTTCTTACGTGTGAAAAAATAGGGGAAAGAAGAACCACCAAAACAAGATAAATCAGGAAGGTCACAAGCCAATCTAGTATTAGGTCATGGCCTAAAGGCCAAAAGCCATACAAAGGGTACAGCCATGAAAGGCACTGAACCGACCTGCAAAAGGATACCGATAAATCAAACTCAGAAAAAAGCCGAATCTCAATCTTAGGTGCAGTACCTTGGATGATCTTTACTTTATGAGTCTCGATGAATTTCTATTTACATCAGATTGACATCAAACTCTATTCACCAACCAGACGACAAGCCGACCTGCCAACTTGTAGATTTACGGAATCTTCAGGATGTTTTAGGAGGCGGGAAGGAAAGAAAATGCAACAAGAAAAATGCGTCAAACCCATATTAGACCCGTCCAGACCCACTCAACAGTTTCAGTTTTTAAAAAATTACAAACCCAATTTTCCAAAATATCAAAAAAAATTTAACTATTTATCTTTAATAACAAACCAATCTTTATCCTTAATAACAAATCACGTGTTCTCCTACTTTATTGAGTATATAGACATAGGTAAACCGAAGTATGTGTGAGAACATTACAAAATATTATAAGTACAAAATAAATTTTGAAATCATTTGCAAAAATATTATTGATATTACTATCACAATACTATAATAGAATTAATATCTTTATATTAATTACAAATCCCTACCATTTTCTATTTATTTCGTAACCAACCATATACCAAAAACCATCTATTCAAGGAGTTAAAAAATATCTTTTTATTTTATCAATAACTGCATCAAACCATCTTTATAAAAATTCATATTGCAATTGACAATATCATAACAATTCTGATATAATTTAATAGATTAGAAAAATTAAAATATTTATAATATTATAAATTATATGAAACTAAAATAATATGATGTAATAAAATTAATAATTTTCTTACTAAAAAATAATATAGGTTACAGTATTTTCAATTAAGTGTTGGTTATAATATTTGTTCTATTTTTTCAAATTTAGCATAACTTATTTAGAAATTGGAAAGACATTGTAACATGGTATGAGTAAAAGAAGATAGAGAGAGAAGCATTATGTGAGTTTTTTTTTTTTTTTTTTTTTTTTTTTTTTTTTTTTTTTTTTTCAGACGCCAGAAATTTATAAATAGAACACATATTTACATGTAGATAACAACCGGAAAAAGCAGCTACACAGCTGAATCCATGGGAGGACAACCCAACAGGCAGCCTAATCAAAACACGCACAACGCACTCACAAGCTTCCAATAGGAGAATTAAGCTGCCAACAGGAAAATTAAGCTCCCAAAAGGAGAACAAACACTACACACAACACACTAAACACGAAATAAAATAATAATCCTCCCTATATATAATTCGTGAATGCGCTGAGTCTACGTGGCTGCTTCTGGTGCTTCGAAATCCTATTTGGCGAATAATCATGCTTCGTAATTAGGTTTGGATAAATAATATTGATATATTAATAATTAATAATCTAGGTTCGAGTATTCCATAAATATTATTTAGTTAACTTAGATATTTTAATATCACTTTTACTAATATAACCCTTTAATTCTTTGTAATTTTACATAGTGAGGCACTAAGTGACTAATATATCCCTGAATTTTGATTTGTTTTCTTCAATAAGCTATTGAATTATATATGTATTTTAAAAGTTGATAACTTTTGTATTTCTTATTGGTTTTACATATATAATATATCAAATTAAACATCTTTTGATGATCTTCGATTTGACATCCATATTGTATATATGAAATAAATAAATTATATTTATCTTTATAATAATAAAAAATAATAATATTTATTAAATTTCATAAGAAAAATAAAATTATTTCTCAATTGATATATTTATATGTAATGTAGTTATATATTGTAAGTTTAAAAAAATTATTATAATATAACACAAGTAAGTTGCACAAATAAAAAGTGTCATAATAAATATATAATAATATATATATTCTTATAAAAGGTATTTAAATTTTCAAACTACTTTTTCTCATTAATTTTAGATTTTAAGAAAAAAAAATTAACAAGCACCCGTGTAATACACGGGTGTTGTACTAGTAACACACGAAAACTAAACACAACAAAAAACATACAAAACACCCAACAAAAGACAGACAAAGCCCTTCCCCACTAGGAAAATGAGCCCTGCCTAAGGCACCAGCAGAAAAAGGCCACCATCGTACAGCTAGATTCGCGGTCCAGGACCCTCACTCCCAGAACTGCCAATAGGCCTAGCTGAAGCGGAATCCCGAGCCCCGAACCACCACGAGAATGTAGCAGACCCAAATTCGGACAAGCATTAGCCAGACCCCACCACACAACTCACCCCCCGAACCCGACCATCACAATTGGCCTAAATTCAGGTAAGTCGGGCTTCCCCGACCCTTCACACCAAGGGGAATCAGATAAACAAGGGGATCTAGCCCCCTCAACCCTAGTCGGCGCATCGATAACAGCGAGCAGCCAAGGCCTCAACCCACTCCTAATCACACACCACCACCCAAACAACTACAAAGACAGAGAAGCCGACGAACTCCCACGAACGATGACCAAAGCTCAGCAGATACCGTCCGACTGGCATTCTCCAACCTCCGATGACGCAAATCTCTTGGAGCAGGCGCTAATCCAGGACAAAGGAGATCGGCTTTAGGCCTATGTGAGTGTTATTGAATAATAATATTTGAATATGTTAAAAATTTTCATTGTCTTTAATAATAAACATGATATAAATTGACAACTATTTTATAAATAAACGTATAAATCATATATTAAATTATTATTATCATAAAATAAAAGAAAAAATAATTATTAGTATTCAAAACCATTGCTATATTTATTCATTGTTTTAAACATGCAAGTTGTAATTATTATTCCGTGCATCACACGTGCTAGTTACTAATTTTTTTTCTCTAGCAATTTTGACAATTTTCAAATTTTGATTTACTCGTGTTATTTGTGGGATTTTCTTTGTTTAGGAAAAAAAAAAATAATAATGTATGCTGCGTGTGTGTCCTTGTCACATTAGAATTGTCCAAGTCAAAACTAATTCTCCGACAAAAGTAAATATTCTATCAAATCCATGCGCCCAACAAAAATCTTTTCTTTTTCAAAACAAAACATAACCAGCCAATCAAATTAAGGCTCTAATTCAATATGTATGTATGAGCTAATTCCTTAAATAATCCTTAGTTAATTGACTTAAACCTTAATTAGCCCGGCTTTGAGCAGAGCAATAATGCATTACAATATTTTAAAAATAAAGCATAAAATAATAAAAAAAAACAAATAGATCCATTCATATAATAAATTTTACGAAAAATAATATAAACGTACAAATAAATTATAAAATTAAGAAAGAAAATTTAAGAAAGAAAGAATATGTGGAGTTGCCGTATTCATGCATACGAGGATGCAGTATTAATTAATTAGGTCCAACCGATTGCAATTGGGCTCGCGACAACGTGTTTCTCGTCGAGCCATTTAATTTGTCCAAACTGATATGTGTCTGGCGGCATTGATCCTGTTACTTCGAACGTCAACGTATAAGATAGTGTTTCACTTGGCTTACGGAAACTCAGTTCTGTCGGGAAAGCGGAAACCTTGACCGAGCTGCTCGGTGAAGAGACGGAGACCTTATAAGTCGACCCGCTCGATCCGACATTCGTAACGGTTCTCTTATGTGTAATCACCGTCGTACCGTTGATATTGGCTGGTACCAGAACGACGAATGAGGGGTAGTTCAGCTCGGTCGTGCTGTACGTTTTGTTGGGGTCGCAAGCGAAACTTATTTGTCGTGCGACGAGCTGGATATAATGTGGCGTGTAGTTTAATGCACAGAGGAAATTCAAGTAGTCCTCCGTGGTCAGATCGTAGACCAAGCCCGGGTCTAGGGCTCGAACAGGGTTAACATATCCGGCTCCATAATCAAGCGGCGTGGATGCGTTTCCTGTGAACTCGTCTATCATGGGGTTGCCACTCGTGTCGGTCTGGTTGGCCGTGGTCATGAGGGCGGAGCGGATAGCGGCGGGGCTCCAGTCTGGGTGGGCCGCCTTGAGCAGAGCAGCCAGGCCGCTGACGTGGGGGCACGACATCGATGTTCCCGACATTATGTTGAAATCGACCTTGCGGTTGTCGTATCTTAGGCCCACGGGGCTAATGCCCCTGGGCCAGGCGGCTAGGATGTTGACACCTGGCGCAATCAGGTCCGGTTTCAGTACCTCGGGTACGAATGTGCTCGGGCCCCTCGAGCTGAAGGCGGCAAGCACCGGCGACGGCTTGACACCGAGCCTCGTCCCGCCAAACTGGAATGTGGCCTTGAGGTTATTATTTTGAGAGGAGTAGATATATTTCTTAATCTCATCGCCCGCAATCTGGCCTACAGCTATGGCCGGAAGAATGTGAGCGTCGGCCAAAATCTCCTCTCTGTTGTCCTTGGTGTTGGCTAGAATCATGCCGGCCCCACCGGCATACTTGACCGCCAAGCCCTTCTCGACTCTGTCATTTATCCCGCGGTCACACACCACAATCTTACCCTTAACCAGTTCCGGGATGAGGTAGCCTATCTGACAGTAGGCGCCGGCGATGTGGTCTATACTTACATTCCCAGCATATACAATGAACAATGAGCCTGAAAACAAAGGACCACTGTAGAGAGACATGCCTGCGTAAGTTTTCCCATTGTCGAGCTTGACGTAGGCCGGGAAGTCTCGATCTATGGTTCCGGCTCCGACAGTGGCTATCCACGGCGCCACATTGGTGACGCCGAACGGGAAAGGACCATCATTTCCAGCAGAGCAGGAGACGAAGATACCTTTGGCTGCGGCGGCAAATGCTCCAATGGCGGTGTTGTCGCCGTAATATCTAGTTTCCCGGCCCCCAATAGATATGGACAGCACATGGACTCCGTCGCTGATGGCTGTGTCGATGGCCTTGAGTATGTCGGTGTTGTAACAGCCACCCTTCCAGCAGGCCTTGTATGCGGCGACCCTTGCCCACGGCACCATCCCACGCGCCGTCCCGTTGGCGTACCCGAGCAGGCTTGCGTTGCTCACGGCTGATCCGGCTGCAGTGGTTGTGGTGTGGGTCCCGTGGCCTTCATCGTCCCTCGGCGATTTCGACTCCAGCGTCCAGTTGACGGGTTTGGCAGCCTGTTCGTAGCCTTTGTAGAAGGACCTGGCCCCGATCAGCTTCTTGTTGCACATGGCTACATTGAAATTGATCCCGTTCTCGCATTCTCCTTGCCAGGAACTCGGGATCGGCCCGTAGCCCGTGTCGTCCAAGCTCGGGCTCTCGGGCCAGATGCCGCAGTCGATGAGGCCGATGACCACGTTCTGCTGTTGGGACTTGTCCGGGAGAAAGTGCGGGTACTTGTCGTCGCGATCTGATTGGCCCGCCAGGCCCAGTAATATCGGGGTCCGGGTCGTGTGGAGCTCGAGCCTTGTGTCGGGCATGACTGAAAGGACACCGGCTTGGTCCTCCATTTCTCGGGCCTCGTCCTCAGTGAGAGTGGCCGAGAATCCATGAATCGCGTGGTCGTACGAGTAGAGCATCTCGGCAGAGCCCGACACCGACTTGAGCGACGAGGTATACCAGAGCTCGTGGTCTTGGAATTCCATCGGCATATCGGATTTCGACATGTGGACGATGTAAGTCTTCTTGGATGCCGTGGAGACGTGGCAAATGGCTAGAAACAGTTGTGATATTATAACTACAAGCATTATTAAAACTGAGGGGATTTGGAATGCCATTCTTATGTGTTATGTAGCCTGAGAATAGATTGATCAGTTTGAGAGAGGAAGAAAATTGAGTGTGTCTGTGGATGTGTTGATTGGTGTGTGTTTTTATATGCAAAAATGGATCAAACAGGCTGACTTGATGTCATGACTTGACGTTGACATTTTAGTTCTGATATAGCTAATGTAGGTTTAGCTGTTACACTATCAATTATATTGACATTTTTAACCATATATTCTAAAGTTCGATATTAAAATTCATAATTTTTGATTTGATATCATGATGCGAGGACTTTAATGTAGTCGATAGTTATTTTAGGAGAAAAAAAAAACCCTGATCTGAAAAGTCCTACTATGACCGGAAATCGCCCGACGATGCCCAATCTGATAACGGCCACTCTCGACCCGGGAGTCGATCCGCCGGCCAGCGTGCACTCGAAATTTCCACCTCTTGGTCCGAATATTCTCCCGGCTCCTAAGCGCTCCAGAATCCGCACTCGTTCCGGCAAATTTGTGACCCCCAACCAAGCAACGCCACCAACGTTTCCCGCGCCGGATTCTAGTGCTTCTGCTACTCAACACCCACCTATCGCTGTCAATCTGAATGCTAACCCCTCTGATTTTTCCCATGCCCAACCCCCTCCCCAGAGATGGTCGTATCGTGACATGATCAACAGGAACAAGAGTCATGTTGATATTTCCCCGGATGATGATAAGGTTGAAGATGAAGGTGAGGGGGAAGTGTCTGTGGATCTTTCTCGCCCGTTGCCGGATATCAAAATTGCGCAACCTTTCTTTGATCGTCTCGAGACGAAATGGCGAAATGTCGTGGTGGTAAAACCCATTGACGATGGCCTCACGATGGCTTCACTGTACAATCGCTTAACCAAGATGTGGCCTTTCATAACGGGCTGTAACATGATGGATCTCGAGAATGGCTTTTACATCATTCACTTCAGCACCATTGATGACGCGGTCAAGGTTACGACTGGTGGACCCTATGTTGTGGGAAATGGATACTTGCACGTTCAACCGTGGAGCCTTGACTTTGATGCGACGAATGAGCAAATATCGGCTACTGTTGCGTGGATACGACTCCCCGGACTGCCTGCCCATCTCTACCACAAGACTATATTTAAGACCATTGGTCGGGTCGTGGGGAAGGTCGTCAAGATTGACCAGCAAACGGCGGCTCTCACTCGCGGCAAATTTGCTAGACTTGCGGTGCTCGTGGACCTAACTAAACCACTATGTGTCAAGTTTACGATTAATGAGCGGCAACAGCGCGTGGTATATGAAAATATTCCCATCATCTGTTTCCAATGTGGCCGAATTGGACATTCGAGCAGTTCTTGCCTACATGGCCCTACTGGCCCTGAGGCACCGGCACATTCCGAAAACCCAAGCGAAGGGAGTTCAAGCGTTAAGCCTGCAATCCAAGATGGGGCCCCCACGACTGAGTACGGTCCATGGATTCAAGTCCCACAACGCGTGCGCCAACCTTATACTCGCAGAACTAAAAACGGGGCTGTGGGACCGGCTGCCACCCATCCGAGTCTGTCTACCAAGCCTGGAATGGGCACCCGTTTCGACCTCCTAAGACGAGAAGAAGACATTCAGGATGAATCCCCAAGTTTTACGTTTGGAGCCCGTACTGAGGACGCCTCTGGGACGAGAGCTGCTAAGTCGACCCCAGCGACTGCTAAACCGAGCGATACCGAATGGAGGGTGGTCGGTCGAAAAAGGTAAGGCACCAAAGAATATTTCCATGATGAAGAACGACAAGGGCACTGCAGGAACTAGCGCAGATCATGCGCGTGACGAAACTCAGGTTACAAATATGGTCGGCACTATTATGCACGGGTCAGGGCAACGCTCGGGAGTTTTCTCTGCTACAACCAAGGGTGCATCTATCGAAATCTCACACGAGGGCTCGCAGCCTGGTTTTGTACAGGTGGGATCCGGACTTAACCCGGCCGAACACCATGCTATTGTCATTGAGGATATACAGCCCCAGGAAGGAGAGTTTACTGAGGCCCATCCGTGTCCACTCGATGACGACGTTGGAGAGGACATGGTCTTGGAGAGACTAAATGCGGGTGAACCCCGTGACCCATGGCCGGGAGAGACGTCAACGTCTCAGCAGCAACATCCTCCGGAGTATTTGGTGACTCCACCAATGGGCTTTGATGACATGTTGGACTCTTCGGTCCAGCATTGACCGAGTTCCCTATCCCCTACAGTTTCCTTATGAATATTGTTACGTGGAATGTTCAAGGTGCAGGCTCGCCTACTTTCAAGGGAGTCTTCTCTACCTTAATGCATCAAGTTCACCCAGATGTCGTTGCGCTTTTCGAGCCACGCATTAGTGGGAAGAATGCTGACAATTTTGTTCGGCATAGTAAGTTTGATAATTCCTTCCGGATTGAAGCCCGGGGATTTTCTGGTGGCATTTGGCTGTTGTGGACCGATGCCGTGACAGTCGAAGTTCTATTTTGTACACGACAATTGGCCCATGTTCGGGTGACGAAGGACAACGTGACTTGTTTGGTATCCTTTGTTTACGCTAGCCCTACCGCGAGGATCAGGAAGCAGTTGTGGGTGGATTTGGAAGTGTTAGCGACTAGGACCTCTGAACCTTGGCTGATAGGTGGAGACTTTAACTGTCTCCTTCGACGCTCGGAAAAATCAGGGGGATCTCTTAACTTCTGCAACATCAGCCAAGAGTTTAAAGACTGGCTTTTTAATAATGGCCTGGAAGAGGTAAATACTGATGCCCATCCTTATACTTGGTTTCGGGAAGGACCGAATGGTCGGATTGCCAAAAAGTTGGACCGTTTTATTGCTAATGTGGAATGGTTGGAGAGGTTTAGTACCGGGCGGGTCAGTCAGCTTCCTCGGGCTCACTCAGATCACTCTCCGTTGATGGTTGGGTTCGGGCGGCAATATACCCAGTCACCGGGCTCGAAGCCTTTTCGTTTCCTTACGCCCTGGTTACTCCATCCAGGATTTCGTGACATGCTCCAAGGTGCGTAGCGTCCCTCTGAATGCTACGTGGAGGCAGCAAAAAGTTTTTTGGAAACCGCCAAAAAGTGGAACTACACCGTCTTTGGAAATATTTTTCAGCGGAAAAAAAGGTTGCTGGCTCGGTTAGGTGGAATTCAAAAATGCCGCCATTTCTATTTTAATTCCAAACTCCAAGTCCTGGAACGAGAACTTCAAGCCGAGCTAGATGACGTGATAATTCAAGAGGAGCTACTTCTTTTGCAAAAGTCGGTTCGTGACTGGTCCTTCTTGGGGGATAAAAATACCTCCTTTTTCCACAGGCAACTGAAATCTCGCCGGAGGAGGGGACGAATTATCAAGCTCCGAAGTGAGGATGGTAATATGATTATGGACCAGAATGCCCTTCACGCCTTGGAAACTAATTATTTCCGGGATATATACACTGTTAGGACTTTGCCGTGTAGCAACCTTGTGCCTAGCCTTTTCCCGCCTTGTGATGCGGGTATGATGGAACCTTTGGCCAATGACATAACTGCTGAGGAAATAAACCGCGCACTGCGAAACATGGGCTCTCTTAAGGCCCCAGGCATGGATGGGCTTAATGCCCTCTTTTTCAAACAAAATTGGGAGATGGTTGGTCATTCCGTGCGTGAGCTGATTCATAAGATGTGGACCGATGGCTTCGTCCCGCAGAGTGTGAATCAGACTTTGTTAGTCTTAATTCCTAAAGTTGAGAAGCCGACTACTATTAAGCAATTCCGCCCGATCAGCCTTCTAAATGTCGTGTATAAACTCTTTACTAAAATTTTGGTCAACCGTATGAAGGAAACCCTACCGAACTTGATTCATCCCGTCCAGGCGAGCTTTGTCCCCGGCCGGCAAATCACCGATAATATCATCGTTGCTCAAGAGTTGATCCATACTATGCGCCATCAGCGAGGAGCAAAGAGCTATATGGTTATTAAAGTTGACTTGGAAAAGGCCTATGACTACCTCCGTTGGGATTTTATAGAAGAAACCTTGTTGTTTGCAGGCTACCCTTCCAAGCTTACAGCCGCTGTTATGGCCTGTATACGTTCGGCCTCAATGCACCTGATGTGGAATGGCGAGGTTTGTGCTGGCTTTACACCGTCAAGGGGGATCCGGCAAGGTGACCCCATGTCCCCTTATTTGTTTGTGTTGTGCATGGAGCGGCTGGCACAATTAATTTGTCAACAGGTTGATGCACTACGTTGGCGTCCTATCTCGGTTGGACGTGGGACTGTGTCGGTTCCTTTTTTAATGTTCGCCGACGATCTCATGCTTTTTTGGAGGCTTCCGATGACCAGGTGTTGATTCTTAATCATGTGATGCGCCTCTTCTGCGAACCATCAGGCTTTAAGATTAGCCCAGATAAGACGCAAGTCCTATTTTCCAACAACGTAGCCCAGCATGAACAAATTCGGCTGGCGGGACTACTTAATTTCAAGTTAACGAATAATTTGGGCTCGTATCTAGGAATGTCGTTAATTCATGGGCGTGTGTCTAAGAATACGTATGCCTACATTTTGGAAAAAGTAGAGTCACGGCTCGCGGGATGGAGAATGAAATCACTCTCGATGGCTGGTCGTGTCACCTTTACTCAATCAGTACTCAGTACTTTGCCACTCTATGCGATGCAAACTGCTCGATTGCCCTATGCTATTACTGACCGACTTCAACAGCGATGTCGGTCTTTCATATGGGGAGGTTCGGATATGACAAGGAAGGTCCATCTTATTGCGTGGCATGATGTTTGTCGCTCTAAAGCCAAAGGGGGTCTTGGCCTTAAAAATCTCCGGCTAATGAATGACGCTCTTATGATGAAGTTAGGCTGGGGACTAATTACGAAGCCCAATTCTCTGTGGGTGCGCGTGATTAAGGCTAAATATTCGTTCCCTCCGTCGATTGAGGCAGCGACAACCAAATATCGATAGAGCTCGGGCTTGATGCGCGCCATTCTTAAAGTCTGGCCGCGTGTGGCCCATGGC